TCTCTGTATAACCAAATGTTTTAGGGTCATTATTCTTTTCTGGATCTTCAACCCTTTGCAACTTTTTTGACGTCCTGGTAATGGTATCATTAAGAAAAAACATTCTTTTTTTTCTCAATTGCTGTATGTTTACTTGCTTTCGATTGAAATCTTGAACACTAGTGTGATGCTATTTTCATATGCATATGATAGTTATTCTGTTATTAGTCCATTTTTGTATATTAATCCTAGGGGCAGCAGCATTAGGTATCTTTGCTGACTATTCAGCAATAGCCTGTTGAAATACACCATAGCTTTACCCTGTCGGAAGCGGCTACGGATTTCCCTTTGTCATAACAAAAAAATACACCAATAGAAGTAATGTAGTATGATTTAGCCCAAAACAGGATTTTCTGAATAACTGTTAGGCAGGGAAGATCACTGGGTTCTACAGTCCTGTGGACTTATTAAATTTTAACTTTTAGTATACCATAAGTTGGATGACTCAACTGTATGATAATTGATCCTTTGACAGTTTAAGCCTTTATGTTGCACTGGCTATAGAATTTCTGCAAAGAATGATTGGGAAATTGCAAGGTATTAATTCCAACCTTACCACAGAATGCTCCCTTTGGGGTATCATGAGTAGTTAAGGTAGGTCTTCAACATGTTGGAAATCAAGAACATTCTTTGCATAAATGAAATCTAAGCATTGAAACCGTGGATAAATAGTAAGTCTAGAGTCTTCAGTGCTGCACTGAGCATTATTACTGCAAATGTAGCCACTTAAAGAATATTTAAGTCTGTTGCTACTCAATTACTCAACTATTGTAACAAGCATGGAGGTTCTATACTTAAATTTGATGACTCACCTTATGGAAGGAGGAACAGTAGAACAAAGGTTTGATGAAATAGTAAGGGATAACTCAAGCAGCACGTGTGGATTGCTGTACACTTAGATGAACATTGCAATGCACTGTAATCGTTTGTATCCTAAGATTCAGGAATGATAATGGTGTATATGACCAAAACTCGCTACCTCAATAGAACTTGAAAAAAGAAAGTGTGGTGGTTCTTATTTCCGGGGAAGGATTCGTCAAGGTTATGGGTGGAGATGTATGCAATTGCAGGATTGGGGAGGGGTAGATATGGAATGTTAATTGGCATATTTGGGAAGAATGGATTCATATTCTGAGTTTATTGACTTTAAGAGGGTACAAATGATTTCTTAACATGAGAGGATGCACTATAGTCCCAAGTATTTTGCACTTTGGGCGAAGGAAACAAAACGAAAGTCTGGTCAAAATACGAGAGTCCCAAGAGGATGATGCAAAACTAGTGGCAGAATTCAATGTTTGTGAGTTTAGCTGCTACGGAATACTGTGTTTAAATCTCTAAAGTTAGCACTCTTATCATTTGTACAGCAACAGTTCCAATAATTTAACAGTTTTCCAAATTGTACTGTACTTATCTTATGTTGAAAGAAGTTCAGTAACGCATTGAGATTCACAATTTGAGTTTCTTATTGATATACAACTAACAACTTTTCACTTTTTCTTCTGGTCTTAGACAAGAAGTGACTCTTTTATGTGGATCCTTATTTGTTTCAGAAAGAAGAATCTAGCAGCAGATGGGTCATATTTGTGGACAAGGCTTCCTAAGTATATTAAGACTGATGGACGTGCTCGTTAGACCTGTCTCTGGAAAGAACAAAAGAAAGAGAAACATTATCTTCAACAAACATGCTTGTATGCAGAAAGTGTCCCTAGCTGGGTAGTCTTTGGACATATTTTGGAATATAGTAAGTAATAGTTATATAGCATTTACTCGGGAAGATGTCGAAAAAGACATGTTCTGCAGGCCCAGCCCTTAAGGGTTCTGGGGTTTGGGGAGGCGGGGGTCAGGACCTGATAAACATTAAAGAACTCTTTCTACAGATTGAATACAAAGGTAAGAGTTCAGCACCTTATCATAGCTCTATTTTGTTCCAGGTGGACCGTAACATTGTGTCACTTTGACAAAACTATATATGCTTTTGTAAACCATTACTATTGATATTCAAGTGCTTCAACTTCTGTGGAATTTTTGTACAAAATTGGTTATGGTGGAGGAATTCTATTTGTCATTGATGATAGTGATGCACATAAAGAGACCAGTGGCGGAGCCAGGATTTTCAATAAGGGGTTCAAATTTGAAAAAATAGACAGATGAAGTAGCCGAAGGGGGTTCGACATCTACTATATATACCTAAAAAATTATTTTAACCATGTATAAATCATATACTTTTCCGCCGAAGGGGGTTCGGATGAACCCCTAATTGTAAGGTTGCTCCGCCACTGAAAGAGATAACGTCTTTTTCTCTTTACGAGTTTCTGAGGTATATGCCTTTATCTTTATCTTGGCAATCGTCAAAGTCATCTCTCTCTCTCTCTCGGTTTCTGTAGCTAATACCTAAGCAACTTTTAGTTTCTTGTATTATAACCTTCGTGGTGCTTTAGAAGAGACTTTGAGGCCTTGTTTGAACATGTAGCCTGTAGGTATGAATTAAGTCTGCACTTCAACTTGTAGTGATTCCATGGATTCATGGGCATTCAGGACACATTTCAGTACAACTTAGCTATTTTGGGGACCACAAAATCAATGGCAAATATTTCCTCAGAATATCAGATCAACCTTCTGGTTTGACTGCACTTGATAAAGGACTGTCTTGGTATCGGAAGAAGTGCTTGGACCTAAAATTTTCTGGTTGACGAATAGAGCGAAGAAGGTCATAGATTCCCTGGGTGCATGTTCTTGCACAAATTACTATAATCCAACTCCAGATGTACAATATTACACTAAGACTATCCACAACATGCTACATCAGTGAATTGCAATGCTCGAGGTTGCTTAGCTTTGCTAGTATTGAACCAGTGGTCGTTTCTGTATCGGTGTACTTGAGCTTGTAGCAACTGCAGTTTTTAACACAGCTGAAATATTTGAATTCCTTAATGATCTGAAGGTCAGTCCTTTCATTATCATTTGTTATGATTTCAGTTTTCTTTTTGGTTCTTTTTGCTGTGAATTAATGGGTTAAGCAATAATTGACCTAAATTTGCACTTGCAACCTTTTGATTATAACTGCAAAATGCTTTTGCATTTTAAATTACTTATTGAAACAAAGAGGAACCTTCTCTTTCTGATATTGTATACGATGAGTACAAAGATATTTATACACTTACCTGAGATCCCCACAAAGGAGAAAAATCAAAATAATATCCTACATATCTGCTTTTGTGATTATCATGCCCAACTTGTTACAGAGATAATCAACTCAAGTTTCATTCAATACCCTTGTAAGTAAATCAGCTAGTTGCTCTACTTGTAATATCTCCACTGCATATAGGAGAACAACTTAATCTCCACTGGATATACTTACAAGGACATTGTAAGTAATATCCATTAGATATACTCAAGTTTTCCTGAATCTTCTCGGAATAAATGACAATGGAATCGAGGCAATATGAAGAGCAACTTGATTATCACACGCCAAAGCTTTGTTGGGTTGAAGCATTTACACTAAAAACTCTGGTGTGATAATCAAGTTGCTCATCAGACACCTCAAATCCAATGTATCATGAAAGAACTAAACATCCTACACCAGTGTATCAGTAAGCACTATAGATGACATGTGATTAATCAAAAAATTAGTTGTGGAAATCACATTAGCCCATAATTGCTTAGGTTTGGAATGACAAAGCATGAGCAGTCTCAAGGAGATGTCTATTTTTCCTCTCAGCCACTCCATTTTGAAAAAGTATATAAACCCGGCGAGGATTGATGGAAAATACCGTGTTGATTCGTATTGTTTTGAAATGCTTCTAACATGTATGCTTTAGCATTATCACTCATCAATGTAGGTAATAGTTAACTGTCTTAATCTCAACACAATAGGTAGAAAAATAAGAAACACCTCAGAACAGTTCTTCTCAAAATATTTTGCTGTCATTTGGGAAAAGTTATCTGTGAAAGTAACAAAATATCTAAACCCAAGTTTAGACACAGGAAGATATAATCCCCAAATATCTGAGTGAACTAATTCAAAAGCAAAAACAACTGCGAGGAATATATGTACTACTTTATGCAAAAACTAAAATAAATGTGTTTACACATATTTCCATTCAGTGTGATATACAGAGAGTAAAACTACATGTTTGTTCTTTTTGAATTCCAAACACTCTTCTCCAAGACTGTTCCCATTACTAAAAATCCTCAAGTTACACTGTTCAATCACTTACAATGTTCTCTGGTATTGTAGGTTAATCGAAGAGCCACTATTTCAATATACAATGAAAAAGTTGATTCAATTCTTTAACTAAGCTTTAGTGCAACTCAAGATGCTAAGCACTAAAGTTGATTACATATATTAAACAAAATTTTCTACAGAAGCTACTGCTATCAAAGATCGATGCTCAATTGTTCATACCTAATAATGGCTTTGTACCCCTATAATAGTACACATTCTACTACATCATCTTCATTGCCATCATTTTCCTTACATGATGAACACAAAAAAATAAGTAAGAAATTCACTAATTCTCCGGAATAACATTTTCCAAAAAACCATTTTAGAGACATTCTTATCATTTGGTAGATCCAAGTCCATGGAACACATTTTCCTTGGTATCGAACACACCCTCAGAACTTTGCTCTTTTATCAAGGAGTTGATATCCCCAGCTCTGGACCTCACTTGTGGGAGTTCATTGGGTATGTTGTTATTTGAGTTGATATCCCCTGCTGAAAGTCTTTGTGGGTAGGGAGTATAAGAATGATCCACAACTGCCGGCAAAGATGTAACATTACCATGTTGATCTCAATATAACAGATGTATTCCTATCTTCTTTACTACTATACCTTCGGCAGTGCCATCCTCTACTGTTATCTGTTCCCCGCCTTTGATCTCCATGCCGTTAAAAGGTCTATCATTTGAGTAAGATATATGTAATATAAACATGATACTTTTCCGTGACTGTCAAGTATATCAAAAGGCAAAGTCCACGGAAAAGCTGAAGGCAGATATAGGCAACAGTAGGCAAAGTCCACGGAAAAGCTGAAGGCAGATATAGGCAACAGTAACAATGAAGTGTTGAAGAAGGATTACATCGCATAAGGGGTAAACAAACCAGAGAACCATTCCTGAGAACTTATACTCCTTATTATGTACCGTGGGCATAGTCAAACAAATAGATGGAGCTGTTACTTTATTGCTGCACCAATCCGGAATCTCATTGCATTCAAGATTAATTCGTAACGACTGCTTCATCAGACAAATTAGTCTGTCCAAATTTCCTATTGATGGATGAATCTCCTTTAGACTTGAGCAATTCTGAAGCCACAAAGTCTCGAGACTTTGTGAACCCTTGAAGTTTGGAGTACTTCTGAGGCGCTTGCAATCATCAAACCATGAAATTGCAATATAACAGTACACATGAAATTGCAGAATTGAGTAACAAACCTGCAAATTCAAACCAAATTCTTGGATATTGCTCCCTCTCATATTCAGAACTACAAGTTTCTCAGCTGGAAAATTTGATGGTACACATTTCAAAGGACATCCTTTCCAAGACAACCATCTGAGCTCCTTGGACAACAGCTCAACATCTCCACTAATATGTAAGTTATCGATTTTAAGCACCCTAAGTTTTATCATTTTCTGAAATGCTTTGGTACTCAACTTCATACCCTTTAATGCCCGTTGTTCTACCACCAGTACTTCTACTTTTTTGAAACCCTGTAGTTTAGTCAAAAGAAAAGTACCATAAGACCATGTTAAGTACGAGAAATTAAGAGAGAGAAATGCTTTATACATATTGAAGGTCAAACAAAGAGAATAAATTATCTACCAAGAAAAATAAATTTACACATTATTTCCAACTAAAGGATATTTAATAAGAAATATCTTTCAGCAAACCAATTTATATAATTATTTAATAAGTGCATTGTATTTGATAGTTTTGTCTTTGATAGTTTGAGTGTTTGACTTTAGTAAATGCTCATTTTAAGCAGAGTGTAGTTGATAAACAACTAGAGATAATTTACTAGCCAGAGAAGAATTAAGCACAATGAATTGAATTCTTGTGGTGACAACATATATTATAAGCAAATATATATCAAATTAAATGAAAAAAGAGAGAGAGGAAAGTATAATCAAGATAAAGACAATGAAATTTCCTGACTTTATTTCCTTGTAGAACGTCACAAACTTCTTGCGGGTTGAACAATCTACTTCGTTTTCCGAAGTCTCGAGTTGATTCCCTGCGAACGATTTCTCTTCCCATATCCCGCACAAGATCATGCATCACCAAATAAGGCCAATCCCTTTGGAGCAAGTTCCTTTGGACTAACGTTGAAATTGCACTTTCAGAATAAAATCCACACGCATTTAATATTTTGGTAACTTCATCCGCATAACATCCATTAAAGGTGCAAGCGATATGAAGGAAAACACTCTGAGTATTGTCAACAAGTCCATCAAAGCTTATCTAGAGAATCTTTTGAATATCACTATGAGGGATTGATCTTAGTTTTTTGAACTCGTATCTCTATTCTTATACAGATCTCCCTTGCAAATGTGACCCCAATGTCACAAGAGCTAATGGTAGCCCACCTGAATATCTTATTATGTCTTGTGCCAACTCAACATATTCTTGTGGTGGAGAAAGATTGTTAAAAGCATCACAAGAAATTTTTTTGTTGAGCTTCATTTTCATTTAAAAGTTTGGTCTAGTATATCTCACTTGTTGTAAGCCCATATAGCAAATCCTCGTCTCGGGTTGTAATAATTATTACACTACTAGAGCCAAACCAACTTTTTTCTCTTGTTAACGATTCTAATTGGCTTCAATGATCCACGTCATCAAGAACAATTAGAACTTTCTGTGACCCAAGTCTTGCTTTGATTAGATTGACACCGTCAACAACACTGCCAACTTCAAAGTCCGTAGTGTTGAGGCTTTGATTAAGTAGTTTCTCTTGTTGCTTGACTAGACCCAATTCTTCAACTTTTGATCTAACATTTGAAAGGAATGGTTGAATTGTGATCCTAATTCCTGTTCTCCCTGCATTTCTTCACAACGTTCAGATTCTTCCACATTTACTGGTTGATCTTTGATATCCATTGGATGATCATGTATATTCATTGAATGATCACCTAAGATCTCATTTGAATAATGACTCAAACTTATCTTCTTTGAATGATCACCCAAGGTCTCATTTTCAATCGAATCATCTCATCGTTTAAATGAATTCGTTGATTTAATTGGAGGCCTAGCAATGATATTTATCCTCAATATAGACCTAGAGGCATCAATAGCAATATCTAAAATGTATAAGCCCACATGCCTATCATTCTTTATGAATCTGAGATGTATTTTTCCCCTCCCATTCATTTTATAGCTAAACTCATTAGCCTCAATTACACTTGCAATCATATCGTCATATGAACCATTGCGATGCAATGCAATAGGCATTATCGTCTTATTAAAATATTTTCAATTCCAGCTTTTATGAGTCTCCTCCTATCACAACCCAAAAATGAATGTGATGACACTTGCCTATTCTTATCAAGACAAGTCAGTCTCAACCCAATGAAATGAAAGACATGTGGAAATAAAAAAGCAAGAACAAGATAAGGCGAAAAACTTATTCATTCTATTAACACCTGAAAACCTGGTTGTCACGTGTACAAATCACTAATACATAAAGTGCAGAATTTAAAAATAAATACAAGTCTCAATCTTTATTTCTCAAATAGAACAAAGCATAAGCAAAAAGGAAAAGAGGGCCCGCTAGGATGACAAACAACTAGCTCTCAATAGTCATTTGACAAGCCTAAAAAAGTAGGAGAAGAAGGACGATCATACAGTACCGGGCTCGAAACCTATACAAGTGTAGACGCAATGAGTCAGTACCAACAACACGGTACCCAACTACCAATCTAATAAACGAAGCAACCTAGCTATAAAACGAATACTCCTTGCATCCCAACCAAACCTCCTCAAACTACAACATGCAGAGAAATCAGCTCAACCTAACAGTTCTACAATAAACAACTCACAAGGCTCAATAGTCACAACTCAACAACCAACACACATCAAGCAAGTAAAATCTCAATGTCAAATAAATCAATCACACGTAAGAAGTGCAACAATCACAATTAACAAGTAAATCATGCATAAACATCAAAATGCATCAAATCATAACAATCAATCTTTCGCCATAACCATTTCTCATCGGCACAATATCACTAGCCGGAACCATTTTCCATTGGTTTTATATCAAATCACTAACCGGAATCATTTCCCATCGACTTTATATCAAATCACTAGCCGGAACCATTTTCCATAGGCTTTAAATCAATTCACTAGTCGAAACCATTTTCCATATGTTTTATATTAATTCACTAGCATGAACCATTTCCCATCTGCTTTATATCAAATCACTAGCCGGAACTATTTCCCATCAGCTTTATATCATACACTTGCCAAAAATGAACTCAAAATCATAACCCTCACCTGTCTCATCATGGTGTTCAACAATCAATGCACACAAGCAATATCACGACACATAGAAGAGACAACGATTGACACAATTCAAATTCACAGTCATGTGTCAAGCATTTCATCAATCAATCAAATAAGGGTCATCTCAAAGCAATTCACAAACATTATGATCAACACATAACCTTATCATTTCAATCCCTTTTTATTCTTAAAGATTTAACAAGTGGACAATTAACCTTTCACCAACACACACAAAGAAGGAAATATATAAATTCTATTAAATTGCGAGGTTTAGGAGATCACTTGCCTTAAATCGATCAACTAGTCACTCCAAGACTTGAGTCTTCCCCTTCCGACCAATGTCCAATGCCAGACGATCTATATCAATTAAATGTTTAGTATAAAAATCTGAAGACAACAATACCTAACTCAATACTTTAAAAAATGGGTCAATCAACAAAACCCAATTCTGAAAATAAAGTTTGAATCCGAAATTATTTGGTTGAAATCATTACCCATGGCATTTGGAACTCATTGTTGAAAACTATTTCGAAAAAGGACTTAAAATCAACCAACAATTTCCATTTTAGTTTAAAATTTGATTTCTTGAAAAACCTTGTCATTTACCAATCAAAATCCCTAAATAATCAAAGGGAAATGAAGTTTTAGGATCTTAAAAGCTTACCCAAATGATTTAACAGAAGAAATCCTTTAAAATCGCCTCCAAAAGTTTCCCAAGCTAAAAAAATGGAAAATGGGGCTAAAACCCCAAAATTTCAAGTCTAAAACCCTTTCTGATGTCGCAAAAGTGAACTTAAGTTCGCTTAAGCGGACTTCGCAAAAGCGACCTCTGGTTCACTTAATCGAACCTCGCTTAAGCAGACCCCTTCGCAAAAAAGTGAGGTCAATAGACTCTAGAAAATTTAGCCTCAAAAGGATCCTCATGATTCATTCAGAGCCCCGTACACACAAATCATATATGCAAATCAATTATACTCAACGTTTTGGACTCAATGGAACCGTCAAAATATGAATCTTTGGTCTCCTTGATCTGGCACCCGTGAAATCACAATAAACTAGCTCAACACCTAAAAAAGGTTAAAACAAGCTCGGGACCTTTCAAAAATCAACCAAGACCTAAATTTATTCCCCGAATCCAACGGAACTCTCGAAATTCGGATCCGAACATCTAAACCTGAATGTTGACCAGAGTTAACCCAAAGTCTAAATTTCCTCAATTTCACAACTTAGGACCTCAAATACTCAAAAAGACTCAGAATCTGAAATTGATAACTCACACATATCAGATTCCACATTCCAGGCCTGATGGAATCGATGAAATTCAATTCCAACACTCAAAAGTCCAAAAGACACCAGAATTCACTTTCTTAATAACTTTAGCCTTTCAAACTCAAAACTTACCAAATTCTCGACTTTAAGCTCAAGGTTCAAAACCAACTTTCAAAACTCAACCAAAAACAACTCGGGGTTGATCTTGGAAGGGGAAAAAATGGTAAATTCATGAGGTTTTTAAAAAATGACCTATCAAGTCATTACATCTCTGGTATTCCCCTATAATCATCATCAACACTAACAAATTTAACTAGTGTCATTATATACTACACTGATAGATACTAGATTATGGTATCAGTGTTTAATGGTCAAGGATTAATACGAAATTAGTACAAAAATGCGAATGAAAAATATCGTGTCCAAATCGAGCTTCTGCAATGTAGAAACGTATTTATAAATGCTTCTAAACTATTGAAATTTATCTACTAACGAGTTATCAAATGATTTTGATATATTTCTCAAGCTTCTAAAATGGTGGGAAAAATAATATTTTGTAGGTATTTCAAAGAAAATGGGGTGAAAATGAAAGCAATGAGTAGGATGATGATGATTTCATCTGTGTAAAGGATAATATCACCGGAAATGTAACACCTCAAACTTCGAGAAATGGCTAATAGGGAAAATGGGCAAGTCCACGAACCCAAAATAGACCATGGACCCTTCATGAGACCTTAGATGACCCGTTTTAGGGTCCACAACCCGTCTTGTGCATTGTGAAGGACTACCCAAAGCAGCTAAGGTGAAGGTCACCTAGACGAGCCACTAAACGACTAGTGGTGACTTGTATGATCTGTTTAGTGGTCCGTACAAGTCACCCATCAGATTTTGAGTTTTGGGTCAATTTAAAACAATCATATCTCTAAGCACAAAGTGAACTAGGTGGGCCATGACTTATCAAATCAAAGGTCTTTAATTCCTCTTTCAAACACCACCAAGTTTGCCTCATTTCAAGTTTGGAGTAAAAAATTATCCCGTTTTAGTGAAGCCCTGTCGGGCAGGTGCAGCTTGAAAACCCACTAGATGGGTCGTGAAGCATTAAACGGCTCGTGACACTGGTCGTTTTGGGCACCTTTTTAAAAGTTGGGGTTGTTTTGGTCTTTCCCCTATGCATTGGTACTTAAACTACGTCGTGTTAACCCCTATTCTAAGCCTAAACTACGTCGTTTCACACCAAATTAAGGGCTTAAAAAGTGTTAATCAATTCTTTTACATTCATTAACACTTCAAGACATTAGAGAAAGGTTCCAAGAGGAGAAAATCTAGGGTTCAAGCATTCTTCAAGTTTCTTTGATTTCGCCAAAAAACTTCATTTTTCCAGGTATCTGGGGCTATCATAGTGTTGGACTAGTTCGTCCTCACACCCTACATCTACTTTCAAATCACTAAAAGAGTAATCTAGGGTTCTATCCTTAGATTTCAGTATTCTTGAGATGAGTTGATATTGTGTTCTGAATTCTTAAGTTGTTGATTATTGAATTCCTATTCCTAATAATTGAATTGTCATACAATGTGAATTGTGATTATTGAGTTGATTGTTCGTGATTATTTTTCAGCATGAACCCTATTTTGAGTATTCAGTGAATTCTTATTGAGAATCTTTTTAACAAAACATTATTGTTTAAACTGAGTTTTGAGGAAGTAAAGAACATTTTGAGAAAGAGTATAAGAGAACTAAGTATTTTTCAAATGTTTCATTTTTACATGAAGAAAAAGAGTAGAATTTTTGAGAAAAGTTAAAAGTATTTTCAGAAAGATTAAGTACAGAGCATTTACCTCTTAAAGAGGTCCATTTTTGAGTAATTATCTCAACCCAGAATGTATTTTTACATTAAGTAAAGAGAAACCTTGTT